CAGAGCAGCCGCGGGAGGGGAAGTGCCCGGCCGGCATTTTCCCGGACATGTTCGGCTTTTTTGGCAATTCCTCCCGGACGGGGGTTTGATTGCCGAAAAGCCAGACACGTCCGGGAAAAAACAGACGTATGGTAACCCTACGGCAGACGCAAACATCTGACAATGGAATTCTGGGTACATTTTAGACAGGGTTTGGGGGTGTTTTTGCTGTTTATTTCACAGCACTGAGACTGCTCCTTTGAAGGATTTCTTGTGATCAGGGAAAGCACTGCTGAAAAAAGATCTATGATTTTGCAATGCTGCTCCTGCTTCTAGACATTTTGGCTGTTTTAGATATTTTGGCTCCTTGTTTTCTTCTGGGTGCAAGGTGTTGGTAATCATCTTCAAAGCCATCAGTGGTCCAAGGCCATTGCCTGAAAGAGGATCTTGTAGCCCCTATTCTGTCACAGCATGCAATACAAGCTGGGATGTTCTTGCTGTTTATTGTGTGGATTCAGTTCTCTCAGCAGAATGCTCTCTTCTTTGGAGTTCTTTCCCCTTGATGGGCCAACACAGCCAGAGTTTGGCTGCCTCCAGGGCAAGATACAAGGCAAATTATTTAGTTTAACATTTTGTCTATGATATTTCATTACTCTCTTGTTCCTGTGCAGTCATGTCTACCAGATCTCAGCCCAGGGCACTACATGGGTTTCTGTCCAATGAGCTGTTGGCTGCCTCATTACTTCTGATATAAACAAAACTCATGAACAGGCTAGGCAATCTCTAATTTGTGCTCCATGAAGGCAGCCCTGTGCCCCCTCCCCCCAACCCCATTCACAGAATACACGGGTGACACCACTTATACCAAATCAGCCACCAATGTCACTTACCACTTATACCTGCTCCTGTATTTTGCACTTCATACATCTGATGAAGTAGGTTTTAGCCCATGAAAGCTTATGCCCAAATAAATTTGTTAGTCTTTAAAGGTGCCACATGGACTCCTCATTTTTTTCCCACTTTTCACTAGTCTCTTTTGATCTACTGTGTCCTCTGCCTACTCTTTGTACTTCTTTGCCTTCGTGGAAATCCACTCTTTGTAGTCAGCTAGAATTCCTTTCCAAAGCAGGAGGTATTCTTGAGGATCCTACTTCTTTGTATTCTTGTTGTCATTTTTCATCAGCCCCTTTCTGATTCTTTCACCATTACTCTGCTCTCTGACTCTTACATTTTCACAAGATACCAACAATAGAGACAACTTCGGACTTCCTGATCTTCCTTCAAGGGTTGGCTGGCACTTGGGTCCAACTGCTTCTCCAGTTGGGTGACCAGCTTAGACCTCATGCAGTACAATGCATGTATTCTGTCTCCTTCCTGGGCAGAACATGATTAATCTTCCATGATGAACTGTCCTCAGTTTGGAGAAAGCTATTATTTTGCAGAGCTTCTTGACTTGGTTGTTGCAACCTCTTTTATATCTCTGAACTACTCATGAGTTATTAAGTAAGTTGGAGGTCTACTTCCTCTTGCTAATCTGGGCTCTTCCACTCAAAGTAAATCTTCAATTCCCCTGCTTGCACTACTTATGTTTGTCTGCCAAATTTTAAAATAGCTGTTACCCTTTTTAGGCACTGCCTCTATTCACATTCTAGTCTGAATGCTCAGATCTCTCAGTACCAGCATCCTCCTTTGTCAAACTCATTGTGTCGTCACTTCCTCCTTCTCTTGCTTCGTCATGCCCAATGGCTTTTTGGAGCTCCAGAGAACAATTTTTAAACCATTATCTGTAATTTCTCAGGTTTCCTATAGGGCTGACAGCACAGAATCACAAAATGGTGTTTGGGGTAAGTCTGTTCTGCCTCACAGAGCACTCTTGGTCAGTCAGAGGGTGTGGCTACATGAGAAAGTTACAGCTCTTTAACTTAAATCAGTTTAAAAACAAAATGTATTTAAACCGGTGAGGCTGAGATTTTCAGAGAAGCCTGAGGGAGTTAGGCCCACAATTCTGACTGAAATTTACTGGGATTAGGGGCCCAATTCTCTTGGGATACTTTGAAAATCCCTCCTTAATTAACAAGAATTTGGGCTGGCCTTGGAATTTCTCCATCACACTTACTTGAGAAACTCATAATGTGGGTAGAAATGAGGCTCTCAGCACATCAAGAAAAATCTAGCATCTGTATTCATCGACTGCATAACTGGAGATAAAGCATCAGGCTGAACGCCTTCCTTTGAAAGCTGTAACAATTGATACAGCTGTTTGTCATAAGAATTCAGAGCAGTTCTTCTTAGCTAGGGTATGTCTACATTAGAAATGCTAAAGCAGTGCAGCTGTTGTATAGACACTTACTACTTCCGCCGCTGTAGTAAATCCACTTCTCTGAGAGGCACTAGCTAGGTGGATGGAAGAATTCTTCCATCGACTTAGTGGTGTCTACACTGGGGCTTAGGTCGGCTTAGCTGCATCAGACAGGGCATGACATTTTTCACAGCCCTGGTGATGTAATTCAGTTGACTTAACTTTGTAGTGTATACTAGCCCCAAGTCAATTGCCCATTCATTTTCTGATTCACTTCCCATTTTACATAGCCCTGAACCCTCTAATTCCACGCTGTCCCTTACAAAGGAAAAATCAATAGCAGCAACTGTGGATTCTGACATGACAAGTTAGGCTTCAGGAAGTGACGGGAGGGGGCAGTTTGGATAAATCAATATTCACTAATAATATTAGTTTCTTTAGTCCTCCTATCCAACAGATTGATTTGTAAACAACAGCTTGAACCTAAAAATCAAACCTCATGTGTGTAATCTACATATACTATAGGTTGGTAGAGTAACTTTCCTCTTGAAGGTTTGGGGAGAGGGATAGCTCAGTGGTTTGAGCATTAGCCTGCTAAACCCAGGGCTGAGAGTTCAATTCTTGAGGAGGCCACTTAGGGATCTGGGGCAAAAATCAGTACTTGGTCCTGCTAGTGGAGGCAGGGGGCTGGACTCGATGATCTTTCAGGGTCCCTTCCAGTTCTAGGAGATAGGTATATCTCCATATTATTTATTATTAAGGTTCTCTCAGTGCTTGATGACCGATATGGGATTGCAGGGAGACAGCTATCTTACATTGATCTGAGGATGTTGGCCAAAGACCTTGAAACAAATTCCTATTTGATTGTCATGTAACATGGAACTTTTAGTGGCTACCTGGAACAGAAAAGCCTTCCATTTTTAGCATCTCTGCCAAAAGAGCCACACAGAATTCAAGTTATCTACTGTGGAAGAATGAAGGGTTGAGTTATCCCGGCCAGGATTTGAACTGGTGGTTCTAGAGCATCTTGGTATTTCTGAACCAGTTGCTTGCAAAATACCCACAGCCAACTTAGCTGGCTACTCAAAATTAATGTTTTTAATTCAAAGTTGCTATCTGCCATTTCTCCCAGTGATGCAAATAGTGTACATGTCAAACTTAAGACTTCAGTTTAGCGTTAACAAGTCTTACTACACAGAGCATGGTAATCAAGTGCTGCATTCACTTAACACTCAACCAACAGTACATGCAAAGAGACCGATTAGAGTAGAATGAAAGATTCCCATTGTCAATATCTTTTTCTCGCTCCATATTTTGGATTAATGAGACTTCTGTTTAGCTTCTATAAAGACTTCCATAAAGTCACAGGGTAAACTTTTAAGACCTGGAGAGGCCTGACAGCTCTCTTACATCAACTTCTCTGTCAATTTAAAATGGTCCTTTTTGTATGAAGAAATCAAGCAACATAACTTGGCAAGTGAGGATGACAATGAGAGTCTCTCCTTCTTGAGAATGTTGTTCAAACACTTAGAATGCCACGCACAAAATCAATTACCTATTCATTTCAAGATCATTCAGGCGAGCAGAAAGATCCTCGAGGCGGTTGATTTGTTTGTGGCACTGGCTACAGTAAAACTCAAATGCCTCATCAGTGATAATGCTGTGCAGTTTCGCAATGAGCGGGTTGACGCTAGAGAAATCACAAGTGTCATTTTAACAGGACAGGACAGAACAGACCAATTTGATTTCATCTGTGGCTTCCACAAGTTAAGTGGATGTTTGGAAGGGTGGGAAAGTCACAAGCTTTTCACGCAAGAATTACAATAAGAAATTTCGGGGCAAATGTTCCTATAAAAATATTAAATCCAAACATCAATGACTGAGAAGTGCAACTGAGCTGGTAATTAAGCCATTTTGTTGGACAAATTGGGTCAAATCATCCCTATTGTAAGCAATCACCTCTTTCCATTCTGTCCCATGGGGGTTATGCCCACTTACCACAGGTATGGATTTGGATAATTGACTTTTTCTGGTCTCCCAATGTACCTGTCAGGCTGCATTATGTGTTACTGCTTTCTTAAACTCAGTGGGATGTTAGGATGTATGTGGGCCATTCAGCAGCATGCGGACCTACCTAGAATGGTTATCAGAATTTAGAGAGCTATCCTTTTAAACAGCACTAATAAACTCTTTCTGGTTTGCCTGGTCAGAAACAGAGCCCTAACTGACATGTTGCTGTGATGTGATTTAGTTTAAAGCCAAATATGTTCAGTCAGACACATCATTTTCCACTAGGAATGTTCTAAAGACAGATTAGAAAGCTGCTGTATGATGAAAACAGGGCAGCACCCTAACAGGTAGGATTTTCATTTCAGACGGCACAGCTTTGAAAGAAATATTAATGAAAGAATAAAAGGTCATGGGGTCAGCTCCAGACACTTCAATGTTACCTTTCTCTTTAAAGTGATGTGCAAGTGTTCACAGGATCAGCTTAGTTTTGCTGTTAAAAAGAGAACCTAATATATGAAGCCCGAAGTTTGTGAAGTGAGGATGTTAGAAAAGACTTCAAAGTGCTTCACTAGCTGCTACAAACTGTAAGGCTTTGGCTTTCAGCAACTTATGTAGAACACAAGGTACTAATGAATTCAGTGACATTTGGCAAATGAAGCAGCTGATCATTTTTGATGACTGACTAAATTACCAGTGTTGTATTCAGTGTTGTTGTAGCCTTAATGGACCACTTCATCTTGAATGGTCCCTTGAAATGTGTGTTAACTACTTATGCTAAATCATCTGTTCAAACCTTGTATTTAGCTGTGCCATTGAGTTTCCCAGACCTGAAGAAGAGCTCTGTGTAGGCTCAAAAGCTTGTGTCTTTCACCAATAAAAGATATAACGTAGAGAATTTTTCACTTGACCAGAGCTCAGAGAGCCGAGAAGCGATACCTCACCCACCTTGTGTCTCTAAACTACCAGTGGTTTCACAAAAAGATTTTTAATAGCAAAGACTATGTAATATTTCTAGGATACCATACATCCTCTCCAAATGGAAAATACTTCTGGAAGCCACAAACTTTAATCAAAGGAAAGTTAATAGTGAAAAAGCATGACATAGAAGTTTAATAAAAACAGAGAGAGGTAGAGGCGTAAGCAGACAGAAACAAGGTTAAAAGTCAAAGACACCTGAAAGGACTAGTCAGCCACCGTGGCACAGATTGATACTGCTTGTCAAGCAAATGGCCTGGACCCAGAGAGGTGCCGAGTGCCATTGTAGTCAATGAGAGCAGTTACCGTGGCTCAGCAACTCCGTAACTCCCCACATTGACTTCAAGGGGAGCTTCAGAAGCCCAGTGCATCTCAGGATCAGGCTGTAAAGTTCCAAATTCAAATTCTGTGCAGTATTCCCGAGCCTCCACATATCCTTACAGACCACACAACTCCTAATAAATCATCGCTGAATGCTTGAAACCCATTTTAATTTGGGTAATGACATTTTGAAAACGTCTTTCCTCCCTCTAGGGTTGACTCCGTTCAGTGAAGATCATTACTTCACAGTGGCAGCTGCTATAGTTGGTAGTGCTTTACAAACTAGGGGTGCTGGGCAGCTGCGAAAGGGTGACTGGAAAAAGGGAAACATCCATTTCAAATCACAAAGCATGAGAGGGGATTCTCATCTTAAAAAAAAAACACAAAAATAAAATAGATAATCTAAAAATAATTTGCCTCTGGAATTTGATCTCAAACTGAAGCTCCAAAGGAGTATTTTTACTAGTTCATAGCCCGTCACAGACACAGAAGGAAGAAGCAATTCACCCTTTGGATGGCTCACTACACCTAATAAGTTTGTCAGATTGATCTGTATTAATAAAAATTAACGTGCTAAAATGGGAAACCTCATTGGCCAACAAACATATATAAAAATAACCCCAGGGGCAGGTCCCCCCTATCACCACCTTATTGGTAGTATTTTTAAAATAGTGTTTAAATTACTCTTCAAGAAATGAAGTTACATACTAGACTACCTGCCCATTGGGTGGGTGAAGGAACCCCGGGCCGTTGGCCTCCCAACCTACACGAAGCATGCTGATAGCCCAGGGTCACCACACTGACTGTCATACATTGCAACTTACATGAACACATTGCTACCCTCTCCCATCTTTTGGTACAGTCACTTAACATAGCCCATGTAGGGTCTGTGCTTATAACAGAAAGAATGTTGTTAGTTAAGAAAAGTAGCGCTGGAGCCTTTTATTTCAATTACCAATTACCAGTCATTTTTCAGCAATGAGTGCTTCAGTGCAGCTCTTTTGTAACTGCATGAACGTACCAGGGAGTGGGCAGAAACTCAGTACGAGGAGTCACAAACACAAAGCGTTTGTTAAAGGCGAAGTGTCAATATACCCTAATGTTCCCTTCATTATCTTAAGTTTCTGATGAACCCTCTGGCGCAGGATTCCATGAACTATAGCAGACAGCTGTGATGTTACTGTTCCCACTTAGAGAAGCTGGTAACATAAAACTGGTGATTGGAGACATGATTGTTTATGTAGTTTGTATAAAACAGCTCAGCAAAAAAAAAATTCAGTCTAAACCATTACATCCTCCAGTTCATTTCAACAAAAGCCAGCTTCACCAAACCTGGTTACATAGGGATGTTGTTTAGGAAAATAGAACATTATTCTTGGAGAAAATTCAAAATAGGGGACTTATCGACAATGCACATCTGGACAAAAAACCAGGAGGGGGGGCAGGCCTACAGTTTAGAGACACATTAGGGTACAGGGTACTACTTCTGATGGCATCTTCTGCCATGATCTGGAACTTATATAGCCTTCACTTTAATCTCTCTTCTTTGGAAGCCCCTCTAATGGGTACACAGAGTAGCGATGAACGCTATCAGGGTAATCCACATCCTTCTCCGCCAGAAGGAAGATGCTGTGATGCAGAACATTATAGGGAGGGGATCAAAGCTGGGCAGATCACCAGGACTATGGGGGCTCATATGGAAAGGAGATCACATTTGGACACTGCATGGAAAGTAATAAAAATGCTACGTCAGGATCATGAATCTTAGTTTACAATGTGTCTCCCAAATGGAAGCTACTTAGCTTGGGATTGTAGCTTCTGGATTCTAGGGTTAGCAAAGATCATCTGGTGTCTGATATTGTTTCACCGGTGATTTTAGCAAAGAAGTGGTGTCCCCTCTACTGCAATTAAAAATGACGTATGTGTGATTTTCACAAGAGCTTTTCCTTTTCCGACCAATAGAGTCCTGAATTGCCTACTGAGTTTTAATCAGGCTTTGTGAATCTTGTGAAACAGACATCTGGCAAGTCAGATAGTTATGAAGGGCTTTTACAGTTATTTAAAAAAAAAAAAAAAAAAAGCACAAATGTGTTTCCTTGGTGGAGCCACTCTAGGTGCCATTATCCAAAAGAGAAATGATCATGTTATTTTCCCCAGCAATTTCAGGGTTATCATATTGGCAATGGTATTTTATACTTCCATTCCACAAAATTATTGTTTCTGCAAGACAAAATATGGACTTCTCAACAGTTAAAAGTGCACTAAGGGTTTTTTCTAGTTATTTATTTCCACAGGAAACCTCTATTCAGATGCAGCAGTGGGTCAGCATCAAGGAACTCTTCTTGATTTTTACTCTGCTTTCTAGCTGGATCATTTATTCACAAAACATGAAGTGTTCAGGAAACACACCAGCCCTATGGCCAGCAACTTCCTGGTTCCAAGCCCCCAGCTGTTCCACTGCACTACATTGCCCCATCTGCCATTGATGCTGGCTTCAACAGAGAAAGCTGCATCAGCTAGTGCAAACTAACCAACTTACCACATGCAAGTCATAAAAGGAAGATTTTTGAATCAAGAGGCATCAGCGAAGGCAGGGTACTAGTTTTCTCTAACAAAAGGTTTTGGTATTAATCACACTTCTCACGGGAAAAGAAACATGACTTTTTCCCTGACGCGTGTGAAACTGAAACCCCCCCACCACACACACACTCCCCCAACAACTGCTACTGGAGCTCTGAGCATCTTTGTTGCTCTGAAAATCAACTTGGCAAGAGGTTTTTAACTTCAGAAGTGACTAGCCAATTGTATTCAACTTGACAGGATTCCCTCTGTGAACCAGTTTGGTATAAAACAAAAGGAAATCCCACATGTGCAAAGCCTGGTTAAAAATGCTGTGCAAAGGAAGTAGCTACAATACTGCCAGTACTAGGTGTGATATTACCTGGGAGAAAGGAAAGAGGAGCTGCTAAAGCTGGTTTCTCCGTTACACAGGCTGTCTGAGAACAAATCTGCTTCATTCCCTTCTCCATAATCCTCGAAGTGCTCCTCCCCACTAATTACGGTAACGATGGAGTGATTGTTGAGGTCTGAGCTCAAGGGCAGGTCCTGTGGATGGGATCTATCAGAGCAAAAAGTAAAAGAAAGGTGTTAAAATGTTGCCAAGGTAGTTACCATTCCAAAGGTTCATATTACACCCACAATTCCAATTGTGCTTATTACACGCCAGTTCAGGATAAAGGACTAATTCTTATGGAAAGTGGAAGGCTGCAGCATAATTTGTACAGTACTTGGACCCTGGAAGGGGCAACACAAGTGCTCTGTGAAAGTTTGTACCAACAGTCTGTCATGTCCATCAAGGTGGGCACCAAAGTAAATGCAACAAACCTGTCTCAGAAGTACCATGAAACTTGGCATAGTAAAACTGGTGAGATGATGTATAATTTGGTCAGTAAAACCAATGGTGAAGTTGTCACAGAGTCAGTGGGCCAGTGCTCTGGAACTACTCCACACGAAGCCAGTCAGGACTCTGGTGTAGCATGCCTCCTCTCTCTGAGCATATTGTCACCAGGACAAGAAGCATACACAGCTTTGACCTTCCTGGGTCTGACCCAGTAGCGGCCGGAGGAGGGGGGGGGGAACGCGAGCATGCGGCCCGCAGCACGGCCCGGCAGCAGCGGCCAGAGGAGCGGGGGGTGGGGGGGGCGCAGGCAGCATCGCCGGCAGCCATGGGGGGGCGGCGGGCACGGCCGGAGGAGTGGGGCCTGTGAGGGAGGGGGGAGAGGGCGCAGCCTGGCGGCCCACAGCATACCCCGGCAGCTGCAGCAGGAGGAGCGGGGGGGGGGGGTTGGGAGTGGTACAGCATGGCCAGCAGCCATGGAGGAGCAGCAGGCATGGCTGGAGGAGCTGGGGGCACAGCATGGTGGCCGGCAGCTGCGGCCGGAGGAGTGAGGGGGGGTCCACGGGGGTGGCCCGGCAGGGCCGGAGGAACCATGTGGGGGAGGGGCGGTGCGGCCAGAGGAGGAGCCGGGGGGGCCTGGCCGGAAGAGGAGCTAAGGGGGGGCGCCTTTTTTATATTTGCTCCCCCTCCTCTTAGAAGCTGGCTACGCCACTGGTCTGACCTTGGGCATTCAGCTTCCCCTTCCTCCCCGTGTGCGGCTCCTGGAGAAGCCAGAGAGCCCTGCACCCCAACTTCTGCAGTCAGCAGTGACTCTCAGCCAGCATGTAGAACAGAAGGGTTTATTAGATGACAAGAATACAGCGTAGAACAGAGCTTGCTATCACAGAAATCAGTGACTTTCAGCCAAGTCCATCTTGGGGAGTCCTGGGCTAGATGGCCTGGACTCCCCCTCTTCCAGTCCCCCAAGCAGACTGCCCAGCTTCCAGCGATCTGTCCCCTGACACCCCCATTGCTCCTCCTCCTCCCCTTTGTCCTGCTTCACGGGCAAAAGGTGCCACCTGGTTGCACCCCCCTCCTGGGTCTCAGGTGATGAAGGGCACCGCCATAGCATACGTGCAGACCGCTGGGCAGCCTCACCTGCCCAGAGGGTCTCGGCACAAATCACATACCCAATTCCCACCCCTGGAATATTGGTGCAGTACACAGGGAAACAGAGGTACACACAATATTAGGACAGGACAGTAAGACTCGCATGCAACACAAGATTAATAAAACCCCACTTCGTCACAGAAGTATGCTCAGCTAGCTGGGCAGAGAAAACAAAGCTAAAGGATTCCTGAGTTAACACCATGCAGTTAAGTTATACAGTCAGCCGACATCTACACGTTAGCCTGTTATTTCACTTAGTGCTGTGTAATCCTATTAAGAGCCCAATACTGGGGTTTAACCAGTCAGTGGCACAGATCCTCGTTGGTTGCACAAGGCAGCTATTCAAAACATCAAAGTTTCCTTTAAGTCAGCCACTAACCTAAATAGCCCTCTTCTGGTTTTCACTGCAAAATATTTTAAGCAGTCAGGTGGATAAAAACGGGGAGGTACTGCTGCTTTTTTTTTTACACGGTTTTGACATCAGATTCACAAGTGATGTCTGTATTAGCATATTAATCCCTTATCTAAGTATGCACGAGATTCATCGCTGATATCCCACTATTTCATTTGATTAAGACAGGATACTCAAGCTATCATCAGTCATTAAAAACATCCTGCTTTACATAACAATTTTCATCTTCAACCCATTGTACAAATATTAACTCATTACATACTAATTTATGGAAAATCTTGTGGAATTGGAATGCAGAGCTTTTATGCAACTCTAGAGAATATAGGGGATTGTAAGAGTCGACCACTGGAGAAAGTCTAAGATGGAACCAAAATTTCGTTCCAAGCGGACACTGCTATGCAGACTAACCGCATAAAGAAAAAAGCATCCAGGCACCATCATCCTTTCTTGATTCCAATGACAATCAGAGAACCGGTTACTTTAAAAATTCCGCTATTTATAAGGACGTGGCTTATTTCATTATCCACTTGCTAAAGAAAAAAATGTATCAGACCAACAATGTTAAATCTAATGAAAAAGTTATAGATAAGCCATTTAAGACAAAAATATACAGCATTTAAGAGACTTCCGCCTTACTCTGCTAATAAAAGTCTTCCATCCATGCAGAAGCGAGTCTGACAGCAGATAAATTCAGCTTCAACTTGCTGGGAATCTGCACACCTTCCTACACACTAAGGAAGTGCAGTTAAATCTCTAACTAGGTCCATCAAAAATTATGCTTTCAAGCCTCAAAGTTTTTAGGAATGTCTTTCATCCACAAGTTAAATGCATAAACGGAGGCTGCTGGGTTGATGCTCAGGGCACCTCCTTTACAAATGAGAGAGGGTACACTACCCATCAAGAAAGCAACACAGGCCAGAACAAAGCAGAGGAAAGATTATTTACAAAACAAAATATATAGAAAATATGTCAGAGCAGACATCTTGGCTGATCTCAGCGAGGCAGATCCCTTTAAAGGACAGAATGGGCCCTATGAAAGGGCAGTGTTATGAAACACATTCTTGTGCTATTTCATGCATATCTACTGTAGATGTTAAGGGCTTAAAAATCCTACAGAAATCTTTCTGATCAACAGCTGAAATGTTTATTTATGTTCATACAGTCTAAGGTGCACAGACTTTAATATCAGTGACTGAAAGGTCACCTTTAGAACTACGCTCAGCCTCAACAGCTACAGTGACAGGGTTTTACTGTGTGATGGATCCCTGGAAGCACAATGGAGGTGCAAGAGGCAGTTCTACAGGGGCCCTGCCTCAATGCCGTTAAATCCCACAGCCTGCAGTCAGATTTCTTGGGTAAATATTCTCCCTCTCACAATTTTCAATTTCTTAAGCTTCCTTCCACATTTTAACCCAAAGTTTAACATTTATTTAAAGCCCTATTATAAACTATTTGAACCACAGAGGGTTTTACAGGACACTGCCTCACTGAACAAGTAGGAAGGTGGGGGATGGATAAAGCACTGTAAACACCTCCCCCTCCCCCATCTTTAAATCTAATTGTGATGGTCCCAATTTAATTTAAAAAAATCCCCAAGCAAAGGCTTTTGTACCTACAGGCAGGTGAGTCCAAGACATGTAGCCATTTTTCCAGAGGGTCGGGGGGGGAACGTATGCAGGCCGGCATGTTTTGCTGACCCTCCTTGGTACAATCAGCACTGTTTGGTGGCCTAGCAGCTTGGAAGCTGATTATACACTGAGAGTTAATCATCACTGAGCCGAATACTCTTCGGCAAAGAAAGCGCAGCCAGCTAATCTCCTTTCCTTTATAACACCCAGGGCCTCTCATGGTAAGTATTCTTTCCGCCCCAGTTCAGAGCACCTGCTCCCCTCCCTTTCCCCACCATGCAAAGAAGCACTTTGAAAAGTCATCCCCTCTTCACTTTTGGAAGAAGTGAAGCGACAGGCTTAACAAACAAAGAAATGCCAACCTGAATGGAGACCTCTGGACTCAGCTGATCTGCTTCTCAATCTTACAGTGAGCACATTAATTAGCAGGCTTTAAACTAGAAAGGTTAAACAAACTTTTATTTTGATAAAGACTGAAGAGGTCATTATGTTTCCATTGGTAAGTCATTACTAAGAGTAGAATTTGACAGCTTCCCCATTCTTCCCTACCTCTCTCCATCATCCTCTCATTTCCCTCCCTACCCCCAAAACTACCTTCACAATATCCTTTGGGGAGGACTCAAGTCAAGCACAACAGTTCCTCCAAAGGAATGTCAGTGCTGTTCCAGAGACCACATGAAAGAATGTCTTTTAGTCATACCCTGCAACCAGATTTTTCAGACAAAAGTCATTAAACTGGAGTTACAAAGTAAGGTGTGGGTGGGAATACTACTCCTATTTTTAGAAACCAAATAACCAAAAATATAATTTAAAGTGGTATATTAAACTTTATGCTTTGCTCCTCAAAGTGTTGTGAGAGATCTCAGGCCCTGAACAGATAAGCAACTTGACAACTGATAGAGAGCTTTCAGATGTGCACAGGAGGTGACATTTTCTGTGTCCATGTTCCAAAAGATTACCACACTAAATAAGGTAATTAAAAATAGGCTGTATACTAATTTTTTCAGAATATTTAATTCTTGCATAAAGTCACAAACACTAACAAGCTGTTAGAACTAGAAAGACCCAAAACCTCATTATATTCTTGCCAGTAATTCAAATCATGGGAGAGTTTGCCATCAGTGGAGTTGTGCTTGCTTTACGCCATCAATGAATTTGACCCTGTTACTGTCCTCCTCCTCCCTCCCTCTTACATACTTGTCAGAAGTGAGCAGCACTGACCCATTCTCTGGATCCTCTATAGGATCGGTGAACTCTGAGTGCACCGTGGAATCAATAGCACTGTCCGTTTCTACTTCATCGTGCATCTCGGGATGTACCAGCGTGCCAGTGTCCTCATCTGTGAAGGTTTCACACTCGCTGTAAGTGCTCTCTGAGCCCATGTAGGCGCTGTCAGTCACCTCATTTGCCTGTTATAAAATACAACAGAAAAACTATTAGCTACTCTTACCTGATTTTGCTCTACAACAGGAACATCAAACGTGCACACACTAATTAAACATAAAAATGCAGGCAATAATTTAAGGATAAAAAAAGTTCCATGAACTGTAAATCATGACCAGATGTGCAGTTATGCATGCCCAACACACACCAACCACTTGTAAATTGACAGACATATCAGAAGAGACCAAATGATTTTACTAACCCCAGAATTTTGGGCTTTCAGGTACTACATAGTTTCCTTCAATAAATTACTGCTTTTAGATTGCACATGTTTTGATACAGAAGTGGGTTTTTTACCCACGAAAGCTTATGCCCAAATAAATCTGTTAGTCTTTAAGGTGTCCCTGGACTCGTCATTTTAGAGAGCACGTCAGTGTTTAGAAAATATCAAGTACATTTTGGGCACTTCTGCAACCTAAATAAATAAAAGTGTAATACGTAAGAGAGGGGTAGAGGTTGTGTTAGAAGAACACAGGGATCAATATCAGCATACTGCCTTAGAAGGAGGTTTGCAATCTGACCAACGATGGTTTGGATCATCGTATGCCTTTTATCCAATTCATTTTAAAAAGTTTGGCAGTTTAGCTAGTTGGGGTTCTAGGATGATCACCACGAAGACTGTAATTATGCGGGCTTTATTACTGCAAAGTACTGTTTTCTGCTGTTACAAGAAATCCTCCACCCATCAAAAATATAAAAATAAATTTGTTTAAAAACTTTTAAGACGACATTCAATTTGCCAGGGTTGAACCTTCAATATATAATCTTAAAGAGACTTGAACAGAGACACTTTTCAACAAAAAAATGTTGTAAAAATATTTTTTAACTGCTTTACTAATAATGTCTCTAATGTTCTGTAAGATGGTGGCATGATCGGGTTGTCAGGGCCCCACAATTGGAGTCAGAAAACCTAGATATATTTGGCTTACCAACTCGCCTGGTGCGTGATCCTTAGGCAAATCAATTCCCCTCCCGCCCTTTGGCTGTTTTGTCTGTTTAGATTGTAATTACCCTGGGGCAGGGACTGTCTCTCAATACTTAAATCTACCCACAGTACCCTCAATACTTAAGTGTGCCCACCTAGCCCAGGGGTGGGCACACTTTTTGGCCCGAGGGCCACATCTGGGTATGGAAATTGTATGGCAAGCCATGAACGCTCACAAAATTGGGGGTAGGGATGCGGGAGGGAGTGTGGGCTCTGGCTGGGGGTGTGGGCTGTGGGGTGGGGCCAGAAATGAGGAGTTCAGGATGCGGGAGGGGGCTGTGGGGGGAGATGAGGGCTCCGACTGGGGGTGCGGGGTTTGGGTGCAGGAGGGTGCTTTGGGCTGGGATCGAGGGGTTCTGAAGGTGGAAGGGGGATCAGGGCTGAGGCAGGGCCCCGGGGGGGGTTTAGGGGTGCATACTCTGGGCGGTGCTTACCTCAAGCAGCTCCTGGAAGCAGCAGCTCTCCAAGCTGCCCTGTCCAAAGGTGTTGCCCTCCCAGCTCCCGTTGCCTGCGGTTCCCGGCCAATGGGAGCTGAGTGGGTGGGGCTTGGGGGGGCAGCATGTGGAGCCCACGATTACCCCTACGCATAGGAGCCGGAAGGGGGAAAATGCCGGCTGCCTCCTGGGAGCTACGTGGAGCCACGGCACACATGGAACGGGCCAAGCCCCTGACCCTGCTCCCTGGCGGGAGCTCGAGGGCCAGATTAAAAGGTCTGACAGGCCACATATGGCCTGCAGTTTGCCCATCCCTGGCCTAGGCCAAGAGGTCCCTGATCTTAGATGGGGCCTCTGTGAGCTACTGAAATGCTACTAAAATAAATATTACTACTAGTGACCAAACGGCAGGAATATACTTTACTTTACTGCATGTATGTTGTTTCCTTTTTACACTTCGTTCACCTTGGGATAGTGAAACTAGCCATTTTCATTTCTGAGTCACAGACACAACCACAATGTTGATACCACAACAACATTTAAGTGACCTGTTTTCTACGTTAAAGTGTCCCATGGGAGCAGCAGACCAAGAGAAGGAGTAGCGACATCTTTCCACCTATGAGAAACAACCTCATCCTGTGCTTCAAGAGGAGCAGTCAGACTTGACCTCTATGGGAGATAAGCTTTGGTGAGAATGCAACAGGTGGTGGGCCTAGCGAATGCATAGCTTGATAAGAAGCCACAAGGAGGAAAGGCTTATGCCAGGTTTTTTTTATTTTATTGTAATTCTCTCTCTCATTTCTCTTCTTTTTTGTAAAGCTGAGTCCAGGGCTCCTACATCTGGGCACCCTGCTGAAAACCGGTAACATTTGGGGGTTTCCTCTCTCATTTCCACCCTGCCTGGAAGAAGCAGAGGGAGGTTTTCTGCAGCAAAGGGCCAGCAGGCAGACATCACCACAGGAGTTAGAACCGTGAAGACTCAAGTGCAGCAGCAGGGAGCCCGCCATGGTGAGTGACTGAGGGAGAGCATCAGAGGCCCGTGAGTCTACATACAGGAACCACAGTTCTGCTGGAATCCCTTTCAAAGGCCTTTTGCTGGCAGCATTTGCCATGATCAACGTTCCAGCCACCACAGACCATTTCTCACACAGACCTCAAGAATGTCTACGTTACGTGAAGTTTACCCAACTGGATCAAAGCAGCTCTGTAACTGATGCCATTTTGCTTCTGCAAGGATTAGAGGTATAGAAAGCAAGTAATACCTTGAGTGGACCAATGCAATAATAGCAATGCAAAAGCCAACTCCTTGTCATTGGCTAAAGACTGTGCAGAGGAGCTTTTAGTGCTTTTCCATCTGCTTTAGAAGAGAAGCTGCCCTAAGTTTCTCATGCAGTGTTGTAGCCGTGTTGGTCCCACGATGCTAAAGAGACACAGTGGGGGAGGTAATATCTTTTCTCTCACTAACTTCTGTTAGTGAGAGAGACCATTTGGGCTACACAGAGCTCTTCATCAGGGCTGGGAAATGCACTCTGAGTGTCACAACTAAATACAAGGTGGAACAAATTGTTTCACTAAGTAGTTAACGCATACTTCAAGGGACCACTCAAGGTGAAGTGGCCAGTTAATACCTATCCAATCATAAGGGGGAAAAGGAGAAAAAATGCTGGGGGGATGTTATTGGGTTATAGATTTGTTGTAATAAGCCATAAATCGAGTGTCTCTGTTCAGTCCATGGTTGTTAGCCTGTAGCAAAGTTATGAATTTAAGCTCCCAGGCTCGTCTTTTGAAAGTGTTGTGCAGGTGTCCTGAAGGTGAGGACTGAGACATCAGATATGGAGCGACCGCTCTATGAAAAATGTTCACACACAGGTGACATGGTGTTTTTGTCTTTTATTGCTTTTCTGTGTGAGTTCACTTGAGAGCAGTGATTGTCTAGTTTTGCCCACATAGTAGTTATTGGGGCATGTAGTACACCGGATGAGGTACACCATCCAGTACAGTAGACTGCCGGAAGAAGTACCATGCATGGTCACTTATGGTCTTTGAAGAATCACCTAAGAGCTGTTCATCTCATGGAGTCATAGGGGAGAAGAAAAGGAGTCCATAACACTTCAAGCACCATAAACCTTGACTACATTAGCATTTTTCAGGATCTCCCATGGCTCTACCACCATCAGTGCAGCAGCCTCAGTGGTAGCAAAAGGTGAGTACATTAGCATAGAGAGGACACATTTTTATCACCACGTCATTTATAAAAACCACCTGCGTTCTGTATACATTGAGAAAATTCCCAGAAGAGGGTAGGCCTGACTCTGATTTCACTTCATTCAGATTTAAACCAGTAAAACTTGATTGATCCCAATTCACACTGGTGCAAATGAGATCAGAATTAAACCCAAGCTCTTACTTCATTTTGAAAACTCATGTCTGGGGACCTCTGTGGAAACTTTGTTAAGGAGAGCACAAGGCTTCCTTTCCATCCCACCCTATAGCACAAGAGCTTTCTAGCAAATGAACGTGTGTGAGGTGTGATATAATTTGTGTTTTCTAACTGCTGTGTGCATATATTCCTCCAGAGGCCTCCAATTTCTTTCTGTTGTGCAAAATATAGTCAGCATCAACTCCTGGGTAATTTATCACACGTGACTAAGACACACACACACACACACACACACACACAAAGTCATTTGCTGACTAACATTTTCCAGTCCAGCTTCTATCTTTGAAAACTCTGCAGCCTTTGTTGTAAGGTGAATAACTAATGAATTCACTTGCAGTTTCTCACACTGTTGGGCGCTTCTAATAACACATAAGACTAAGTTAGACTGCAAGGAATGTATACGAAAGCACCTACTTAGTGTACAATACTCTAAGAACAGAAAGCTCTATTCCAGCAGCGGGAGACGGAGAAAGGGTATGTAAAAATGCAGAAGCCATTGTCTCGAGTATAAGGGAAGGACTTTTACCTTGTGAAAGCAGGTAGAAGGTCATCAGTTCAGTCCATTCACTTATTTTCCACATTGGCTCTATGGGATCACAACCAATTCAAACAAAACATTGTTTTGTCCATTAATCAGCAGGTCACTTAGCCCCATCGCCATTTGAGCCATACCCTTTCTGTTTGTACGCTAGGTCCACTGAGGTTGCAGCCACCAGAAAACAGAAAACGCTTAAACACTGAGCTACAGAATGGAGATGCACTTGGAAAGAGGCAATTAAGGCCCTCACCTAGCAAAGATGTGCTCAGCTTTATGCTTGTGAGTAGACTCACTGACTCCCCAATAATTCTCTCCAAAACACACTCCTAATGTCAAAGTTAAGCACGTATGTAAATCCTTAAAGGACCAGAGCCTAAGTCACCAAGTTGATGAGGCCAGTTTAATTCTGCTCAAGTGGTGGTGAGACCTTAGCCAACTAGCTAGTTAACAAGGGAAAGAGGCTTTCACTAACCTTAAAATTAAACACTTTAAAACATATTCATAGGCGTAAAGTATGTGCTTTAGTACTTTGCTGGATTGGGACATTACTTCCTATAAGTGATGGATAG